AAGGCATATCCAGCACTGGAACAAAAATTTTCATATGTAGGTTTTGATGTGCCTATTTACCTGGCTTTGCCCACAGACACCTTGGATAGAGAACTGAGCAATCCATTAGAGATAAGCTCTTTCCAGCACTTTCTCAGCATACAGACGCATGTATTTTTAACACATTTCAGAATATACTGAAACAACTTCCCTCCCCATCACGATTTGCAATATCAAACTGATGGCCATTTATTTTCATGTGATTCTATTCATATCCCAGAGAAGACTAATGGTGTGTATTTTAGAATGCAGCTTATTGACAACAATATATGGCAAGATAAAACATGCATTATGTAAGAACTGATTGGAAAAGACCTGACAGGTGCTGTGATATGTAAGTGGTCACAAGTTTGATAACTAAATATATTAGAAGCAACAATATATACATCTTAGCTAATCTAGGTGAATGTGAAAATTATCAAAGCTCAAGATGTTGTTAGGATTTCAGGCTCATAAAATTACAGGAAAAGAGGCTTCCAGTTAGAGAAATTAAGCAGATTTAACAATCTCCCTCCTTGCATTGTTACATTCATAAACAGTTATAATATTTTCTCAAATTCAGGGATAGAATTAACCACATTTGCTCTTGAAAGGTGGCATGGATTGTAATCTTATATGATAAATTTAAAACACAGTAAAAGGGCCTTAAAATAATGCCAGCTGTGCCAGTTCTCAGGCACGGCTTGGAGCCACACAGAGAGAATGGAGACACATCTCAAATACCTCTGTGTATAAATACCTCTGTGACCCCAGGGAATCTGGCAGGGGTCTGCTTCTGCATCTCTAAGGCATCCCAGCTTCTCGACCTTCAGCTGTCAACGTGCAAAGCAGAGCTTACACACACAAAGCATTGCTGTGCTTTATAGCTCACAATGAATCACATAGCACAGATGCAACGCTGTTTAGAGGAGCTAGAAGTTTAGAAAAAACACAAGCACAACTTCCAGCCTGAACTGACAGATGTAATCCATTTCCATAAAAGCAAAGACTGTTATTAAGGAGGATAAATAGAGGAATCAAAGTCAAATGCATGGTAAAAAAAGAGGCTGGTATATTGCAGTAGCAAAAATAATTCAGACAGGCCCAGACTTGTGCAAATAATCAGGCCTGTTTAACTTCCAGCTGGACACCTCTACCTTTACAAATTATCTCTTTAAGCCCCATATCAACACTACTATAACACCTAGTCATAAAGCTGTTGTGGAATTCCAAGGATGGTTGTGTCCCTGGGAAAAAAATGGCTGGAATTGTATCCATACAACCCACAGAGCATTTGGGCCTCTTCAGCTGAAGAGAGTTGTTCCCTTCAGGGCCAAATCTCTGGGCATTCTAATACATGTAATCCATCTCCATGTACATTACCTGCAGCTAAGGCTTCCTGCATGTGTAGGTTCCTCAAACAAGGGATCCAGAAACACTGTGACAAACATGTATGAACTTATGTCCTGAGCCAGCAATGGAATCATATTTCTCTTTCATTTTCAGATCCTGGACAGACTCCTAAAGCAAAATACGTTCTACTATGCTTCAAGAGATCCCACAGGTCTTTTGCTTTGCTATAATGGCCCACTGGCTGTGCTTACACACAGGTTACACACACAGGTTTTTATGTCAGCTGGGAGCTGACACCTATATACATGTTGTAAAACAGGCAGAAGACTTTGAGCATCTTTTATGGGCAAGTGCTCTAATCATTAGCCTTGTAAGGGAAGGATGTAACAACACCTCCATCTGCAATCATTAAAAGAAAAAAACAACAAAAACAAAATAAAAAAAACAAACAAAACCAACCAAACACACACACAAAAAAAAAAATCCTAGTAGATAAAACACTAGGGAGCCCTCAGTTGTTTGTATCATTTTGGCAGGCTCTCCCATGCTGTGAACGACACTTCAGAGTAGCTTTTTATTCAGCTTCTTGTTATCTGGAAAAGAAAATACTTCAATGCAATTTTAATGAATTTCCTGTAGTTTGATTTGAAAATTTCTCAGTCAAGAAAGTAAAAATCTCCACAGAACAAACAGAAAAGTAATTTAAGAAAAATAGCCAAAATTGCAATAAATACAGTGAGTACCTCTGGACACATTGCCCATCCTGGAATGCCTTTGGTAATTTGCCCCAACAGCTTCACACCTGCTAGGTCTCCAGCAAGTTTCCTTTCACACTATCCATCAGGGCTGACACGTAATTTCCATCCAAAGGCTTTCATCAGCATTAAAGCAGTGCAGCGATACAGGTAAGTTCTCTGTTCCTCTTAGAGACCCTCCAGCACATCTGAAAAACAAGCCTTTGATCTATAATTTCTCTAAATTTTGCTGGCTTAATCACATCAACTCACACCTTCATCTTCCCTCCCCTAACAGCATGAGGGTGCTCCCAGTTCCTTCCTGCACTCAGACTGGGGCTACCCTTCACCCTGTATTTTGAATTTCTCCTCCAGGTTCACTCGGCTGTGCTGAAGTCGATGCAGCTTCTGTGTCTCTGTGCCTGTGCTGGCTGCTCTCCTGACATGACAATTGCTAGCATAAGCTATGAAATGTCACATGAGCTACAGCCAGCCTCTCCCCAGATGCTTCTTCATTTTTATCTCGAGCTGTCATCTTGCTGGTTTCCTAGAAAAATTTAGTGCTACCATCTCAGACCACTGAACAGGCTGAGCAGGTTTCACCTTTATATACGTACCAGGACAGAGGCTGTTCAATAGATGAACACTGATATTCAGCATTTGAGACCAAATGCTGAATTTGGTCCATTTCATTTTGGTCCAATTTCAGCATTTAAGACCATAGTTAATTGTGTCTTCTCCAGGGCCATTCCAAAAGAGTATCCAAACACAAATTTGAGAATACAAACTTGAGACTCAACCCTGCAGAAAGTAAGGAGGGAAAAGGGCAGAAGGCAGTGGTAGGCAAAAATCCAGAACCTGACTTCCACAACCGAGTCCTCCTCAGCTGTGCTGTTCTCTTAAGAGAAGTACTAAATCCTACATATAAAAGTAAATATATTTTAATGGGAATTGAGAGCACCTATTCCCAGCTCAATATCAAATATTTCATGGGCCCACAGTAAGACACAGGCCAGCCTCTCCCCAGATGCTTCTTCATTTTTATCTCGAGCCGTCATCTTGCTGGTTTCCTAGAAAAATTTAGTGCTACCATCTCAGACCACTGAACAGGCTGAGCAGGTTTCACCTTTATATACGTACCAGGACAGAGGCTGTTCAGTAGATGAACACTGATATTCAGCATTTGAGACCAAATGCTGAATTTGGTCCATTTCATTTTGGTCCAATTTCAGCATTTAAGACCATAGTTAATTGTGTCTTCTCCGGAGTCATTCCAAAAGAGTATCCAAACACAAATTTGAGAATACAAACTTGAGACTCAACCCTGCAGAAAGTAAGGAGGGAAAAGGGCAGAAGGCAGTGGTAGGCAAAAATCCAGAACCTGACTTCCACAACCGAGTCCTCCTCAGCTGTGCTGTTCTCTTAAGAGAAGTACTAAATCCTACATATAAAAGTAAATATATTTTAATGGGAATTGAGAGCACCTATTCCCAGCTCAATATCAAATATTTCATGGGCCCACAGTAAGACCACAGACAGAAAACACAGTCTCAATTCCCTTAAACTCAGACTGAAAATATATAAAACAGAAGTCTCATGCTCCTAATGACCAGAAATGGATCTAGTGCTCTTAAGAAGCACTAATCACATACAGTACACAAAGAGGTATTAAAAATTAGTTTAGGAGGTGTTTTTCACCAGCCCAAGTAAAGTTCCTGATAATTTTCAGCCTGCAGGCTGAATTCCTTTTATACTACCAGCAGTCATAGCTCTAAATTACATAAAACCTGACTCCAGCATCCACTGAAACTCTCCTTAGATGCTAAACAGGCCTTGTCATAACCTAACAGCAGAAATCCCCATCTAATCAAGGCAAGTGACGTGAGTAAACTGTGAGATGTGGGTAGGTAGTACCATGCCATGTAGCATTAAGTGGCAGCAGCAGCATGTATGACTAATTTGTGCTACAGGCTTAAAAATGACAGCCACAGAAGCTAGGAGAAAGGGCTGTAGTCTCTCAAATCTATGATCTAGCTGTGGTTGTCAAACATAGCAGATTTCTTGGCATCAACATCTGTCCCTGAAGCAAGCAGCAATTACAGCACTTTGCAGCACTGCAAGCCATTCTGACAGCTTTCAGCTCAGCCTGCAAAGAGATTTGATGGTCCTGGCCACACTAAGTAAAAGAAATTAGGATTCCCTACTCCCTGCTTTGCATGGGCCACTGCTCATACCAAAATGATTTCTCCCTACATGCCTCTATACACATATTTGTTGCAAGCTATAGTTCATTTTTGCTGAAACACAATTTTTACAAGTCTGTGGCTTTCAATGTACAGAAGCTTTGATGGGCCCAAGCAGCAAATAATAGAAAATCACTTTAGGTCATGTTGAGAAATAGAGTAGCTGATGAATAGTCTGTTGGCAGGTAAGGCAAGGAGGAAGTGCTTTTAGATTACCTCACAGGAATAAAAAATAAATAAATTAGATAATAAAGTGAGAAGTGCTAATCTATTTGTTACTGCTGCTGTGAGAGAGGCAAAGTAATTAATTTAGCTTTTAGTTGTTGACTTAGTGAGATACTTCATGACGATACAGCAGATAATAAAGTGAGAAGTGCTAATCTATTTGTTACTGCTGCTGTGAGAGAGGCAAGGTAATTAATTTAGCTTTTACTTGTTGACTTAGTGAGATACTTCATGACAATACAGCAGTAACTGGTCTGCCATCTTAATACATAATAAAGATTAATATGCATCAGATTGCTTATGAAACCCATCCCTTTATCTGTTCATATCTAAAACATCGGGTTGATGGAACCATTTAGCTAGCATCAATGTTGCAGCAGTAATTTCAGGTGAATCCGTATTAAAGAGGTTTACTGTATTCCTTCCTCTTTCTGCTTCAGGCCACAATTAGAAAGACAACTGTTTAAGAACTCTCACAATTGTATTTTATTTGACATCAGCAATACACTGGAGTATAATAGGAACAATTTTTTTGCACAATCTTTCTTGCAAGATGGATTTATTTTCCAAATACATAGATGTTCATAATACAGGAAGGTAACAGTTAAGCTGCACAATAGCAAAACAAGTTGACAGCTATCAAACCACCTTTTAAGTTTGTTTGTATAGTCAGGTGACCAGCATTGAACATATCATTCAAATAATTTAGTTAACCTCTGATTCTTCAAATCTTCCCAGCCACATTGTTCTATGCAACTAAAATGCGCACCAAGAATAGTGAAAAAGAATTCAACAAAAGGCTTCCTTTGTTTTGATTTCCTTTCAGTTTTTCCCCATGTATGAGCCAATACAAAGGGATAAACATCAGAATTTGGAATGGCACAGGAACTCTTGCAACATGCATCTAGGTCAGCCACATATTGCAGAAGTAGTGAGTTATTGACAGAGAAGATAGGACTTTCCTACAGGGGGTATTTAAAAAGCATTTTTACTATGCTTGGTTTAAGTATATTTTTTGCATGGCACTACTTTTACAGAAAAAAAAAAGTACTTCCAAAAGCTTCATATTTTTCACTGGGATTTTTCCTTGCAATGTCTAAGCCTAAACCCAGATGTTTTGGTTGCAATGGATAGGGCTTCTGAGAAAAAGAAAAGCTTACAGTAAAACAAAATATCAGTAAATACCACTTTTTTAAAGTTATTTTAATTTTCAGCTTAAAATGACACAATACATATGACATATAGCAGCTGCTACACATCACATATAATTTTTTTGTTTGTTTGTTTCTCTGTTGGTATGCAGGTCTTAAACTTCAAATTAGTACAGAAGTTGATATCTCCCAGTCTGCCCCTCAGCTGTGAATTTGTGAGTAAAAAGAGTGAGAGAAAGGATGCTCTCCATCATTTGTTAGATGGACTGATTTCAACAGCTCACTAAAGTACCCCAGCAGTTTGGAATATCAGGTCTGGCAGAGTGCTTAATGCTGCTGGTAGGGTGGTAGGTAAAGGTGAGGAGAAAAAGGTACCCAGAGCAACTTCTAGGTGCCTTATTTACTTACTACCAGCAAGTGAATACTGTGTCTGCAGATGGACTTTTAACACACTGCCTCTGCTCTGTATGCTTGCTAGTGCTGCAGCACAGAGCTCAAGTGGGCTGGCAGTGCTAGCACTCATCCAGAAAATTTAGAAACCTGAAAACTTCTGTCTGTTCTACAACTGACCTGTATCTCAGGCAGCCAAAGTTGGTTTATGTCACTGTGCTAGCAGTGGATCTTGAAGCCCACCCCTAAACCCTTACACACCATACTTTAGGACTCCAACCCTACTTACACTGTGCTTTGCTGCTTGACTGCCAGGGTTTATCTGCCCCTGCCATGGATGCACACCCTCCATGTGCCCAGATTCTGCTGTCCACCTGGTGATGGAGATGTGATGCATAGAGAGCCTGTGGCTAAAGGGAAGGCATGGGAATCCCACACCATCCCAGAAACTGCTGCTCCTCACCTCAGCCACACAGCAAGGGAGCAAAGTCAGGGACAGAACTTGAACAAACCAAAACAGTGCAAAAGTAGCAGAACATGCCAAAGAGTGGGTTTAGATTGTTCATTTTGGAAGTTTTAGCCCTTAAACCTAATTCAACTCTTATACCTTACCTCAGGAAAATGCCTCAGCTGTTTTTATCCAGAACTGGAATATCTTCTCCTGCTGAACAGATTGCTCCACCACCACTTACAAAAACACACTCCTAACTCAGCAAGGCCAGCACTGAGTGCCCTCCTAACTGGACTGATGTATTGAACCTAAAAATTCCTAGTCTTCCACAGTTCACCCATGGCATAGCAGAAAGAAATCTTGGAAGTATACAGGGAAGCTGATTAATTGCATACTTAGTAAGACCAACTGAGAATGTGAAGATCAAAGAATGCCTTTTTTTCACTCACATATCTTTTCTTATCTGATTTCACTATATTTATGCAGAGAGGAAGAGAGAAGTAGCATTTTAAAAAATCTCCACAGAATTTTCTCACCTTCTGTTTAATATTGTCTCCACATTCTCCAAAAAGAAAAATACAATCCATGTATTAATGCAGCTAAGCATATTGTTTAGCTTAACAGAAAATCTACATACATTTCACCTTACCTTCCTAAGTGAAATGTCAACAAATAAAATTCACATTTTCAGTACAGAGCAAATATTTTTGCACATAAAATTTTTAAAGTTTTAACTAAATATCCTCCAAATTAGAGATTTTATTTGAAAACAAAAGCTATCTTTGTGATATAATCATAGACAGAAGTTTGCATAGAAATGTTTCCTACCTTCCTGAAGTTTGCAATGGAGCTTATGATTTCCATGTCTGCAGGTGAGGAAGCTTCTTTAAAAGAAATAGTTTAAAAAAATGAAAATAATTCAGCTTGATTTTCTTCTTAATAATTATGGAACAAAATGGAGAAATGCGTATAATTATGCAACAAAATAGACCACCAAAGAGAACCCCCTTTTTCCTGTGTTTAAGGAGTGATGGATTCATAGTTATACCTACAAAGAAGTCAGTGATGCAGTTCTGTCTCTGGGAAGGCCCACAAGCTGCTGGCAGGAGACTGTGGGTACTTACCAGGCAGCAGCATTAAGCATCTTCTTCTTCATTACCACACCTGTATTTGGCACTCCCACCACTCTCCATTTCAAAACACTTAGCAGATAGGCAAGGAGCAGACAAGGTGCAATACACCTTGGTGCTCCTCTGAGACCTTCTGTGCAGTTACAGTGCCTATGAGCAGTGCTGATCTGAAGGAAGCTTTCATTCTGCCCTATTTTGTATTCCAAAAGAGTATTTTCCATCCCACCCCCACTACTCCAAAGACCCTGTTGCACCACAGGACAGCTTGGATGCACAGCAACATGAAAGCATTCCAGCTGGCAGCAGGAGCTACCTCATCTTTTCAGTCTTCTAGCCACAGCACCAGAACCCTTAGGGAAGATTAACTGTGCTGATCCTCGTGCAGGATTTGCAGTTGGAGTTGAATTCCACACTGCACTCAGCTTGCTCCTATGCTGCCTATTTGGAAAAGGGGTTTAGGGGGCATTTTCATAAGTGGCTTAATCCAATATAAGCTCTGCTCAGCCTCTGAGAGAGGCAGTCACACTCTCCATACCCTCTGGTTCTGACCACAGACTCCCATCTTCTCCCACATGAGCAGCACAGCAGCTCTCATGCACCCACCCATGGTGGGCTACACACACACACACACACACACACACACACACACACAACCCTTTTGTGTGTTTTTTGTGCCTTTTGTGGTTCCATGCTCTGCAAGTGCCAGCTTGTGGATGTACATTTTCAGACATGGCAACTGTAAATGCAGGTGCAGCCCACACGCTGTAGCACTGACTGGATTATCAGAAACGCTCAGCATCAAACAGCTCCCATGAATTCAGGTACAAGAATGAAGTCTTCAGATCTAGTAGGAAAGCATGATACTTTAAAAAAACTGGTTGTTACTGTAATGAAAGCTGTTTTCTTCACCCACATTCCCTCGGATAACTGAATTAAATCAGAGACAGCATTCTCTCTATTTATTCTCTTAAACATAAAGCAAGTTAAATGCTAAACATTCCAAAGTGCTTCACTGCTCAAAATTAAATGTATAGAGCCGCAGAAAGATTTTTTTAAAAATGTTACTGTTTACATTTTTGGTTGAGAAATGTTCTAAAACAAAGGGAAGCAGTAAAACTTAATAAAACTCATTCTTTTTCCCTTCCCATTCTCTCTCCTAATTTGTCCTGGCTGACAAAGAAAATACCATTTTCACAAACAGCTTCCATGGAACACAAATGTTTATAATAGGATATTAGGCACTTTTCTTTAATAGTTTCTCATTATACTTATAATGAAGGAATAATTATTTCTAGGCTGTTTCCTGCCAGATGCAGTTCTAGTACCTCTAATAGGACATATCTTAAAATAACTGCTTGGTAGCAAGAAAATAAATTTTTCATCCATACTCATGTTTTCCCTTCTTTTCTCTCTCTTCAAATAACTTCATTAATTGTAGCTCTTTCAAAAATTCTGGTCTTTTTTTTTTGTTTTGTTTTGTTTTTTTGTTTTTTTAGTCCATGATTGTCATTGATATAATTCACAAAATCACCTTTGTGGAGGAAAAATGACCACGAGGGCACAGGAGGTTTGAGAAAGCCTGAGAGAACCTCTGTTTTAATGACAGTGGAGGTAAGAGGAGAATCCTCAGACTGTGGTTTCACACCAGCATTAACCCAGCTCAAAGCATCAATCCAGGCTCCTCATGCCCTCCTTTGTACCAGCACTAAGATGGGAGCCAGATCAGACAGATCCCACTACTACTAACCAGCCAAAAGGAAACAAGACAAAACTGCAGGTTTAGCTAGATAAGTTACTTCAGCCTGCTTCCCCACAAGCACAGAACTACCTCCCCACACACTAAGCAAGGCAATAAAGAAGAAGGTGAGAGGGCTACCTTCAGCAGTAATATAGCTTTATGGTGGAGTCTTAAAAAAGGTTGCAAAAAGCTGACGGACTCTGCTTGTAGTCTCTCTGGTGCAGACTCTTTTATGGTGGAGTCTTAAAAAAGGTTGCAAAAAGCTGATAGGATTCTGCTTGTAGTCTCTCTGGTGCAGACTCCTCCAGAGGATGGCAGAACATAAGCCAGCTCCAATTCAGAAGCCTCTTAGAATAAACATGCCCTGAGTCCTGCCCTGCCCAATGTGCTTCATCAGCCCTTCAAACATGGGTTGAGTATTCAAGACAGGTGGATTATTTTTTACCACAAAAGCACTGCTGGTATTGATTTGCAAAGGTATGTATCTATGAAACAAATATTTTAAAGTAATTGCTCAAGAGCTCTGCTTATCTGAAACACCTCAAATCACCGCCACTCCTCTGGTGATAGACAATGTGGCCACAAATTAACAAAAAAATGAAATACATGTACATACAGAATCATCTACTTATGAAAAGTTCATTTGACAACCTGGCACATCCTAACAGAAAAGGAGATTTTCAAGCTTGCAAATATAAAGCATACTGCTTAGTAATAAGGTTAGCTATCTCATATTTCACAATAACTTTGAAGAAATACTTGTAGACATTCTTTACTTCTGAGTCCTTCATCCCCGGAGCAGTTTTACTTACCGTGGAGATGAGCCACCAGCACAAGATGAAGATGCAAGACAAAGCAGTGCTCAACTAATTTTTCCAAGGTATTGAGCTCAGAAATACAGCTGAGTGCTTCACACTGTCATCTACTTCTTCTACCAAACTCCAGTTATGTATTTTCCAAGGATGAAAACATATTCACAAGCAATTATTTCCTTCAGTGTTTCTTTATGTCATCAGGTCATCCACAGACTGCTGTCAGTTAACAGCAACCTGGATACAGTATTAACAAAAACACTAAGCAAATCTTGACACAACAGCAAGATGACCAGCAGGAAATAACCCAGATCTCCATGCTACTTGAAGATAGTACCACACTCTTCCTCCAGATCTTTTTCTTGAAAATAGTTACATGAAGATAGTGATAAAAAAATACCTACCTCACATCGTGTTTTCTATCCAGAAGGTACTCTTTCAATACAGAGCTATTAGCAAGTGCATCTTGAGTCTGCCTCCTTAAAATTCAGGGAAATTATATTATTTCAAGAGATACATACCCAGCCTGCAACAGCATTAGTATTTTTAAATGCTTAAACTACACTTTTTTTTTTTTAAAACATTCAAAAATTGATGGGAGTTTGGAAGGTTTTCTAAAAAAGGGAATCTCCAAGGTTTTTGTTTTGCCACTGTTATTTTTATTTTGAAAAAACCATCATGCTCTCAATTCCTCTTGCACAAGAAAATGAAAATAGAATTATGACCAAAAAATATAGTGAACTGCAATGGATATTAACTGGTTTTCTTTGAAATCCTTTCCAGTGGTATACTACAAAAAGCATAAGAAAGTCTGAGAGATACTTTTAGATGCATTAAGTTATCGACTAGAAGACAATGCTATTCAATTCTGAAATAAATACCTACCACATTTCTAACTCATGCGAAAACAAATGATGTTTTGCAAATTCTATCAATTTTATAATAATTGCATTTTTCATTCCCTCCAGTTAACACAGAATATAACATCAGCAAAGAGAGATCTTTACAGGGTGCTCTGTACTTCACACTACTCTCACTTGCCTGGGATGTGGCAAAAATTTACTTTCAGAGTCTGATTTACTCAGAACACACTGAAACTCTCCCCACACTCACATTCTCCAAAATAGCTACATCCTGACTCCGAGGAGAGGCCTACAAATGAAGATTGTACAAATTAACGCATATCAGACTCCTTCAAAATGGCACATTTTTCCTTCCAGTAAACTTCCCATTTAAAGTGCACTGAAGTAAATGAAAAACATATTTTGGTGTTAGTGGATACGAGTAGAGATTCTTAAAAAAATGTAAACTCACCTTGGAAGCCCACAGTGAAAAAAATAAAAGGTCTTGAAAAAAAATCTAAATAATTTAAAAATATGCTACTATCATTTAACTTAACTTTTTTTCCTGGATTTTTTCCCCTGTTTTTTTGGGGTTGGTATCTGGTGGTTAATACTGACCACCATGATGCTCAGATTTTTACTGAGTATGAAATTTGTTTATGCAATTTTGTTCTCCCACATGTAAACAGAGCAGCAATAAAGCTTATGCTTTATTGCTTTACTCTTGTCAGAGTAGGAAGGGAAGCACCTCCTTTTCTCCCCACTTAGCACTGACCTGCTGCAAACTTAGTGCTGTATAGCCCTGAAGTTCTGTAAGACTTCTACAGCTTTGATCATCCTTGCCTTGATCGATATCACCAGCAGATGTTATACTAAAGCCAGGCTTCTCAACACTACAGCTGCTTTTTTTCTAATCTATTTTTCAATACTAGAATTAAATAAAACCAAGGGTGAGATTTTGTCAGCTGTCTGTATTGCAAGTCATAACCAGTGCTAGCCACACAAACCCTTTCTATTTTAGTCAGGCCAAGCACTATTGGCAAGTCCCAGGAAGCCAAGTTACAACTCACCAAAATTTCTTTCCTCTTTAATCTTCTAAGTCAAACAAAAGTTATAAGAAGTGTGCAAAGCCTATGATCTACTCTGCTATCCAAACAGAGCTTTTGGCAGCTCTTGGGATTTGTATGCATAGTGTGCTGCTATAGCACACTGAAAAAGGGTCTGCTAAGAAATCTGTAGTATTTATGGGAAAATGTCCCAGATGGACAATGTGCGTCCCTTACAAAGGCTGTGTGTCATTCCTCCCATTCTGGCCTTCCCTACACTTCTAACAGCACAAGGAACATGAGAAGTTAGGCTTTGGATAAATTGGATAAATAGATACTGCATATCCTGTCATTCTCACATGGCACACAGACAATGAGCTACATTTGAGTGTCAAGCTACATTAGAGGCCAAATGACACACAGGAGGTACACAGTACAGAGGAAGAAGATGGAATTCTGAGCATATCAAAAAGCCAAGTTCATTAAATACATTTACTTGGTTTCCCCATTTTTTGGTAATATCCATTCTGAATTATGAAGATGATAAGATGCCAAAGGCTACACTTGAACACCCCGTAATCAATAACTCTCAGCTCCTGTTTACAGAACAGCTCTAATCACATTCCTTATTAAACTATTTCTCTTTCATTCAATTATTGTCCTGCTTACTTGCCTGATCAAAGGGTAATGTAGAGTGGATAACTAAACAGTTTAAAATCTTTCTTCCCCTTCAAAGACACATGGGAGAAGAAATGCACTACCAACATCCATTTGGAGACAAGTCCATTTTAATAGGAGGAAAAACAGATTCCAGTACTGCTGGTGAGCTCCAAGAGTTCAGGTCACCATGAAGGGCTGGGGTCTAAGTTTGCCACCTTTCTCATCTTCATCATTTTCACAATTGCAGTGAAACCTGCTAATAGTGGGCTCACAATTGACTACAAACCACACTTCATCTCCTATGAAGGCAATCCTCCTGAGCCAAGTTTTTAACTCTTTTTCTCAAGTGCCTGCATTAGTGGTCAGGGCTGCATCTCTGCAATCTGTGGGAGTTTTGCTGCCTGTAACAATGTCTCTGAGGAAATATCAGTGGAGAACTATCTCTGTTTCCTTGTACAGATTTTTGTCTTTCTCTCCAGTTTCCTTTCCTGTTGATAGATGTGAATTTATCTGAAGTGTTTGGTTAGTTTTAAACCGCTATGATACTGTCAAAAAAAAAAAAAAAGATTGTTCAACAATGCCAATAGAGAAAAAGAACAAAAACCTAAAAATATAGTTCCTGTAGAGTTCATCTCACTGAACCTCATCTCTAATAAGCTATTTGTTCCTGTAGAGTTCATCTCACTGAACCTCATCTCTAATAAGCTATTTGGTCACTGAAATGACACCTGCACTGTTCTCCCTTAGGATTTTAGTTAGCAGTTTTGAAATTTGGGCTGCTATATTTAGCATATTTCTCCTTTTGTGCTTTCAGGTTATGGTATCACTGAGTATATTGCCAGCACTTTTTTGTTTTACTGTTTGTGTTTATCCAAGGAGATTAAAAATAATGAAGAACAACTGTTAACAATAATTTCCTATTTACATTGTCCACATGTAATTTGGAAAGGTAATTATGGTAATTTCTTCATATGCTGCAATATAAAACTGTAGTACAGTTCAATAAATTAGTCCTAGACTCATGATGATTTTTTAAATTAAATTCATTTTGAATTTAGGCATGGAAGTGTTGGAAGATACTTCAGAAATACTGTGGATATTTAAAATAGGTAACTTTTTCTGTGGTACCATTAAAAATTTCTCCCAAAATGGAAGCATAGGAATAAATATCTTTAATTTATTTTTTGCAGTCCTTTTTCCTCCTTTTAAGTCTTTAAACAGAAACTACAAGTGAATTGAAGCAGCACATTTAGATCAATCTAAGCCTGAACTAGTGTTGATCCCACTGAACAATGCACTAGAAAAAGCTGATTACAAAATCAGTATACAGGGATGGGTGGAAAGAACAGACAACTGTTTCTAATGAATTGTTTAAAGCTCTGCCTGTGAGAGAACATCCTTGGTTTTCATCACAGAAGAAAGCAAAGAGTAATTTCATTAACTTCTGGTGCAAATACTAGTTTCTCCACACAGCAGGTCACCGTTCTTCATGCTAGGAGTACTTTATCATTTGCGCAATTATAATCAATAATTGCCAGAGGTTTAGCTTTGTTTATTCTTGGTTAACCAAATAAATAGTCCCTTGCATGCTATCTCCTATTCTAACAATTTGTAACAATGTGATCTAATTAGAGAGCAAACAGCTACAGCAACTAGCAGTACATCCAAAGATACAAACTACTGCAGTTAGACATCTTGCACGGGTGCTCCATTTCCAGTTCTGTGATATGCCACATACTGTTTTTCTAATGAGTGTTGTAGTCTCAACCATCTTCCACATGTAAAAGATGAAAAAGGAAAGAACCATACCTGGCCTTTTGAGAGCATCCCTTGAGTAAAAGAAAGACTAAGGCAACTGATTATATCACTCCATTATAATAAAGTTACATAAGACATTCCTACTGCATTCTACCATCTACAATTCATTATTACACATGAAAGAACCGTCTGGGATCCATACCACACACTGCAGTATCTCTTGCCAAATATCTCCCAGGTCCCACAAGTTAAAGGTCAGATTCTCAGCCATGAGCTGGCTAAAAGGCTTGGAGAGACAGAGGCACGGTCACAGTTTCACCATTATGGGGTCTTTTTACCCTGACTCTTGTCCCAGCAGAGTCTAGGGCAGTCTAATGCATCCCTTTTGTTGCCAGCAGCTTGTGGTCTCCATAAGTCCCTGGATCATTCTATGGGCATAGAACCACTGAACACTCACCTGATCTGCCCTGCAGCATAAGACTTTGACAATAGGCTACCAATCTCCTACTCAGTCAGCTGAAGCTAAGGATTAGTCCAGACCCTTTAAAGGCACAACCAGCTCATAGCTGAGAATTTGGCCTTTGATTCCCACTTGTCACCTGCACAGAAACACTCTAATCATTTGCCAAGCCAGACACTTCTACACAAACATTTCTTTTATTTATTGGCCATTTGTTTTCTACCTGTTCTAGTGAAAATAACATTTATGATCAGGACTTCTATCAGGTTTAACTACTCAATTGTTTAATAATGTTGCCTGCTTGCATACTGCAATTTGGTAAGAAAAGCACCTATCTATGCCACAGTTTAAAGTAAACAAATGGATTTGTAAATTAACATTTTTAATTTGGGATCCACCTAGAAAGTTTACTTTCTTATTTATATCACAGCAGTCCTTCTCAAAAAGGGTGTCTTTCATTCACTCAGTGACATGCCGCACTCATCTATGCACAGGAAATGGGGCTTTTTTTGCTTAATTGTCAAGCCACTTTTAAAAGTGTTGAAAATTTAACTTGACACAAACATTACATAAGGAGGTGGGGGAATGGAATATGTGATTAAAGGAAATCAGGAGTGTAACTGAAAAGTATGGGGAAAAAATTAAAAAAAAAACCCAAACCCCAAAGCATCCAAAGAAAAACCAAGGAATTTAAATGATAAGTTGAACATTGTGGTCTGGTCTTCATCTACTACAACTGATGTAATTTAGGAATAAATCCACTTAAGCTGGTCAGCAAGGTCAAAGAAGAATCACCCACTTAAGATCA